AATCCAAGGAAGGATCGCCTAATTACTATTAATTATAACTGCATATACATCCAACAGGTCTCTTTCTATCTCTCTCTTGTGAACAACAACAGTTCTTATTTATTTTTCAGCTTTTTCATAATTCTAGCTATTTGTGATCAAATGAGACAAAATTTATGTATTGAGATTTTGTGTATAACTAATAATTTAATTAGCTCGTATAATGTTTAGGCAGCTAGCTTCATATTTTATTAATATGTTAAAGAATTTTTTTTTAAAAAAAATTATCTGTATAAAAGGTGATATAAATAATTAAATATGTTCAAAGAATGATGAGCTTTTTTAATTTAAAATAATGCAAATAGTATTAAATAAGAAGAAATTATAAAAAAAAGTTAGAGTTGATGATAATGTACTTTTTCTATAAAAAAAAATGATAATGTACTTTTGGTATATAAAAGCTTTTACACGGATAATCAATCAAATATATTATTAGTATATGACTTTTAAAAGTATTTATTAATTTCTTTCTTTTTAAACAAGCTAAAATTACTTTGAATATTGCTGAACGTGATATTGAAATATCATAATTTATAAATTTTAAGATTTTGAGTCGCACAAGTGTTGTCTTTCTTCTGTAAAAATAAAATAAATAAAAGTGTTTTGTCTTTCCAAAAGAGTTACATCTTTCAAGAAGAAAAAAAATTATATCGCATCATCTTTACTCACTTAGGGACATCAAGGGTCAATAAAGTCTTTGTCCTAACTCCTAAGTCTCTTAAACATAATTTTATTTACTAATTATTTTTTTTTTTAAAAATCACTTATTGATAAATGTGTTTAAGAAAAACACACGTCATACATTAATTAAGCTAATTAGGTTATAATGTTTAATTTATACTTAAAAGCAATAATCATGAACAACACGCACAAATGCGTTTTCTTATTGTTTCTGTTTTATGTCAACACGCGAGGTTCATGAAATGTAACATTATTTTTTAGGACATTATCTTTTCAACTTACAAATCAATAATCAATATAATTATAAGTTTAATTTTAATTTCACTGTATCATTGTTATTAACTTTTTCTCAGTCATCAATTTGGTCTGAACAAATTTTATGCATCGGATATAAGTTACTTATTTGGTCTAAATTAAGTTACTTATTTGGCTATTGAATTTTCAACAAGTCACCTGTCGAATTAATTATTGTCGTGTAGTGGTTATTGCTACTTAAATTACTTCTGTGCATGGCCCGAACTCTTGTTTAAATTTATCTTAATTCAGTATTTGTTGGTATTGTTAGCTTTTGGTGTTAAGAACATCAAAAGCTAACAGTCTAATTAAATATAAATTACTTAAATTGCTTTTGTTGGATTGATTTTTTTTAAAATTTTTAGTTATGTTTCCTTGTAATGAGTTAGAGTATCCATTATATTTTCTTTAATTAATATTTTGTCTATAAAAATTTTTTTACACCAACACAATCTAATTTATAATTGATTTTGCAAAATCAGATTAATATTTTTGCAAAACCAGATTAAAATTTAACTCATTAATTTGGTATCATCAATTATTTACACTAATGCAATCCAATTTATACTCCATTTTTTTTATTAGTCAAACTAGTAATACATTAAAACTACACAATACTTTAGTAGTTAATACTTTGCATGAAATGTAACTTCTTTCATATTTAATATTTTTTATATAGACTTTGTTAAGATAAGGTAGACGAAACTACATAATTTAATTCACCAATTGAATTATAACTTAATTAGTTGTATCGAATTTCATAATATTTTTTAATTTAATTTTTTTTAATAATATCAACAAAGTTTAATTAAGAACTTGAATACTATATCCCAAACCCCAGGTATGTATATTGTATTATACATGAAGTTGAAATAACAATGAATTTAAGTGATTTACTAATACTTGATTTTTTAAAATATTTTTTAAGGGATGTTTAGTGCACAAAATGTTTTTTTTCTTCTAAGAATCTTAAATTGAAAATTATGATTTTCCATATTTAATAATTATTTTAAAAAAAAGATTATTAAGATATATAGTTTCTCGAGTATTATTTTTATATATTTTACTTTCTTTAAAAAAAACAAATTATGGAGAGGTTAAAAATCTAACTTTTTTGAGTTAAAAGAATTTTTATGTATATAAAAATATCATAATATATTTTTAAAAATAATATATATATATAGTTGAGATTCATATTTTTAAAGTATCTTATTCTTCTTTTATTTTTCTTTCTTCCTCTCTTTTTCGCTCTCTCTCTCATTATCTCTCTCACTCTTCCTCTCTTCTTCTCATATCTCTGTTTCTCTTTCTTTTTTTTTGTATGTCATTATTTATTGACCTTGTTAATTTTAATCATATTATTAAAATCTATTTTATTTTTACAGTTTAATGATATTTGTTAACATTTTTTAATGAAAAGAAATAATATATTTTTATCCTTATTATTTATAAGTTAGTATTTTTTTGTTTATTTCTTTTGTTGAATTCTATATTTAAATAATTTTAACTATAAGTTTTTTTTTAAAATAGTTAAATGTTATACTTGTAATAAGATTTAAGTAAATAAATATATTTAATAAAGTTATTTTGATAAAGAATATTTTTGTAAAATATTTATATACTCAAGCTAATATACTATTGTAACAAAATATTTAATTTCCTAGAATTTTGTATGAATAGTTCCAGGAACCTTTATAAGTAACTAAGCAAATTTTAGTTATTTTCAATAATTATGATTTTCAATATTTGTAATTTTCAAGAATCATAATTTTTAGATATGAAAAAGTTTCTCCCAACACTCCCCATAAGTTTAAATATGATTTTAGTCCTTAAAAAATATGGGAGTTTTGATTTTGGTCTCTGTAAAAAAATTTCTTTAATTTTTATCCTTCAAATTTTATAAACATTGTTTTTGGTCCTTGTAAATATTTGTGACCATTATAAAATATGTAAATTTTATTTTTGGTTCCCGTAATATTTTTACTTAATTTTTATTCCTCTAAAATTTAAAATCACTATTTTTTATCATTGACAATGATTTAGAGATATCACACACTAACATAATTGTGAATAACACTTGATATAATCACTTAATTTTTTAATAAACAAATAAATTGATAAAAATGATTAAACATTAACATGAACTAAAAACAATATAATCCTAAATTTTAGTGAGATAAAAAAAATAAAAAAAAATTCTGACAAGAACTAAATTAAAACTCATTCATTTTATAGACTAAAAACTATATTTTTTACTTACTGATCTTCTATAAATATCATTATAAATTATTTTGAGTAAATTATGCTTTATCTCCTCTAATATTTTACATATTTTCATTTACTTTCTTACAATTTTTTTAACATACTGAACCTCTTTATTCCTAATTTTTACTAAGTTAGCTACTGTTTTAATTGTAATATATACAATATTGAATTGAGAAGCATGACTGAAAAAGGATAAATATAATTTTTCGATCCAATTATTTTCTAGACTTGTAATATTTTCTAACCTTGAAATTAGTATCCCGTACGTCTTTCTCCTAATCAACTTCCTATATAGAAATATATAAGTCTTTGAAAGTAAATGTCAAATGTCAAATGTATAACTACTCCCTGGTATAATTAAACACACGTGTCCTCACCTCAACATGCTTTTATTTCTAATATCTGTCGCTATTTTCATACTTTTTATACATCTTCAAAAGAAAATGGATAAAACATGTCATGTAATTTTTCTAAAATAATACCTGCCATCATATCATGCAATTACGCTATACAAACATAAAGATAAAAAATGTATATAAAAAAATCATTTACTAATTAATAAACACATGCATTAATAAATATTAAGGTTTTCTCCGAGATGTTGTAGTTTATATTTAACAAAAATTAAATTATTTTAATTTACATATTGTGGGTCATCTATACTATATTAATATAATGTATAATATTAATATTTTATTTTTTTATTATTAATTATACATATTAATGCTCTATACAGACATAATTGATTAATTTTCTAATATATATATATATATATATATATATTAATAATTTAATTTCAATTAGATAATTAACTATATTAACACTATATTAGAACTATGTTTTGTAGGTGAAAGGAAGGGGTCAAAATAAAAAGCTTTAAGATTTTTTTTATCAGTAACAGGAACCCATCTAGAAGGTAATTATGTATATATACATATATATATATATATAGAGAGAGAGTTATTTGTTAATTTTATTTTGCTACGTCAATAGGGAGTTGGGAGACAAAGAGGGGTTAGACCAGATGTTTGACTCAAGAGGAAGTATATATAGTTTTAATTAAATAAATGGAATTTTCTGCAGTCCACGTGCAGTTGTAAGGATTCTAATAGCCAAACAATGCAGTTAGTTACGCCCCAAAAAAGTTAATCAAATCCAAACCTAAATCATATCTATCTCTCTTCGTATATATACAACTTCCAAATATAGTCTAACAAGAATACCAAACTCTTAATTTTCTCATATGTAAAAAAAATCCTCCAATTTGTTATTCTGCATGTCACACAAACGTATATGTACGTCAAAACTACTTTTCTCAACTTTGTGTTGAATTTTATGTAAAAGAAATTGGACATGTTATGTACATGCATGAATTAATTCATTAAATTACTATTATTTCTCTAAAAGCATCATTGGATGCTCGTTTATATGCATGCATAGTCGATAGCAAAGTATTTCACGTTTTATCATTGATGTCACAAATAAGACATGGCCATGGTTGTAGAAAATAGAAAAAAGCAATGTAATTCCATTTGTAAATACATAAAATATGGGAAATAAGCACTCTTGGTGGGTTATAAGTAGACGTTGTAGGTTAGAAACTTGGGAAAGATGTTGAAAGCAGAACCAAACTCTCTCCTCTAAGCAACCTCTTTTCTTTGCCACACATCATATATGTGTGTATATGTTATTTTATTATTTTTATAAATATAAGTATGGGTATTAATTACTTATAAGAGGGTTTGTTAGCCAAAACGTTTGCATCAATCGCAGGTGTAAGAGGTTTGTCCAATCCCTCCAACTCTCTAACGGAAAACACTTTCCCATCTTCCCCCACCATATATTCTCTTCTTCTGTCTCTTTCCACTCCCTTGTCTTTATTCTTAGTTTCTTATCTCTCTCCCTCTTCTTGCTTTCATATTCTTTGCTCATCATAGCTTACGGAGAGGAATTGATATATATAGATCAAACAAGAGGAGAGGACCAAAAGGGTAGGGGGAAAAATTTACCCTATTCTTGAATTAGGGTTTCTTCTTCTTCTTTGTGTTTTGTAGTTGGTTTTAGTTTCTAGGGAGAGATAATATGTGTAGTAGAGGCCATTGGAGGCCAGCTGAAGATGAGAAGCTTAGGGAATTGGTGGAACGCTATGGACCTCATAATTGGAACGCCATAGCTGAGAAGTTTCGAGGAAGATCAGGTAATTTCATCATGTCATATCATCTTATCTTCTTACTAGCTCATCTTATTCTTGTAACAACTTTTTATCCATTTACAAATCAGATGATTATTTGATTAGAAAGTATTAGGGTAACGATCGAACAAATTTATATATGAAAGGGTTAGCATAACCTAACTCGTTTAACTTTGTTGTAAGTAATTAAACTTCATTATTGATAATAATTACTTTATATATTGTAAAATTTTCATTGAAACTACACAAGAGATTTTTTCTTTTTATGTAAATTTTTGGGATAAATTAAACGGATGATGTTTCACTCCAAGAAAAGCTTTGATTACACCAGGAGTTTGAGTAAAATAGCAATAATTAAGTAGCTAATAATATTATTGCGAAGATTGGAGATTTAATTTTTCTAACCAATCAATTAACTTTTCTATGGATTTAAAAGATGATAGAAATATAAAGATTTTCTTATATGTATATATAAGAGAAACTTTAGTATATTCTTTCTCTAATATTTTTTTTTCTAATATTTTCTTTATTATTACTTAAAATTTATGATACATCACGCAAATTTTAACAAGTTTTATATTTTATTTAATGAGTGTCTCTCTTGATTTGGTAATAAAATTAACTTAAATATATAATTTTAATAAATTTCAGTCGATAATCAAAAATGTTAGAGAATTTTGCCCTTGTATATAAACATCTAATATCTAAGGAGCATATATATCAAGTGAAAGAAAGTAGCATATTTTTATAACTGTAAGTTGGTGAAGTTTACTTGTAAGTAACATAGTAAGAAATTTTGTGCAGGGAAAAGTTGTAGGTTGAGATGGTTCAATCAATTGGACCCAAGAATAAACAGAAGTCCATTCACAGAGGAAGAAGAAGAGCGACTTCTAGCTTC